TCGATAATCTCAGTGGTTGGACACCAGGTGATCAGAAATCTGAGTGAACCATCCGAGTTCACTTTGATGCATTTGGACACATATGCAGATTATCTGAGGCAGGTGGAGCCACGCACCGAGTCGAGAGCTGTGCGAGCACTACTAACGACGGGTGGCCCCCGCATAAAGAAACTTCATGGACGCTACCTAGAGGTCTATGGGCCGTATCAAGTGATGCTGAACGTGGATGGAATCAGTGTCTACACCAGGACTTATGTAACAACAGATGATGACCAAATGGGGCAGATCTATTTGGGTGAGGAGGAACTCAAAGTCCGCAGGATAGGCCATGACGCCATGATGGAACAAGACGCAGTACACATTGGGTATGAAGCAGATGTGACCGCACATCTGCTCGACACCAACGGAACAAAAATCGGAGTCACAGGGCTTCTGGACACAGGAGCGGTAGTGAGTGTGATGCCGATAAAAACTTGGGAAAGAATGGGCTTCACGCGGGAAGATCTAATTCCAACGATTCTCCGACTGGCCGCCGCCAATCGAGGAGCTATTTACGTAGCCGGAAGAACACCAATAACGGTCCTCCACATGGGAGGACGGGATGTTTGGATGAACTTCCTGGTGGTAAAGAATTTGGACGACGCCGACCAATTCACCTTGGGCAGAGATTTTGTCAGGAATTTTGACGTGATGATTGACTTGAACAACGGTCTGATACGGATTAGAAACCCGGACCGGAAGTATGTTAAGAGACCAATTAATAGGATAATAACAGACGAAAACAAGGTACCAATTTTTTCAGATAGAAAGATAAAACTACAGCCAGGACAAGCTGTGGTGGCAATTTTTAGAATGAGAAATTTAAATTCGTTAAGTGATAGTAAACAGGTTTGCTTAGTACCGAATCCAAATAGTCAGAGTTCGGTGACTTTAGGCCGGAGCTTCTCGGTAACGCGAAACGGACTGTGTGTCAGTGTGTTATTGAACACACTGGACACCACGGTTTCAATCCAGCGTGGAAAGAAGCTTGGTTACGCTTTACCGATGAGGACCGACTATGAGGAGACACAAAACTTGAAGAAACACAGTGTGAAAGACTGTCCTTATTATGCCAATAAAGATAAAATTTTAAAGAGGGTTAATGAATTAAAATCTTTTCATAAATTGTTTTCAATGAAATCCGAAACGGACGACGGCTTATCAAGCTGCTCGAATTTTCCAGAACGCTCCTCGTCATATGAACTAGAATCTGACAAACCGGTTTTGCCAGAGATAGAACATTTAAAAGGGAAAATAGGTGAGGGAGATTTCGAAAAATTGCGGGACCTCCTAAATCGGAACGCAGATGTAATTTCAAAACATAAGGCGGATATCGGTTGCTGTAATTTCGTCGAACGCGAAATCGAACTTGAAGAGGGCGCCGTTCCCCATAGGGAAGGCGCAATACGAATGACGCCACACAAATTGGAAGCGTGCCGAGCGGAAACAGAAATGTTACTTGAATACGACATGATAGAACCTCGAAATCGCCATGGGCTTGCGAGGTAGTAATGGCGAAAAAGGAAGGGGGGCAGCTGAGATTTTGTTGCGACTTTCGTTACTTGAACGCGGTAACGATAAAAGATGCGTACCCGATACCGCGATTAGACGAGAGCCTATCTAAGCTTGGTGATGCCAAGTTCTTCACCACATTGGACTTAGGTTCTGCCTTCTGGCAGGTCCCTCTGCGGAAGAAGGACAGAGAGAAAACCGGATTCGCGTGCGAATTGGGATTGTACCAGTGGAAGTGGATGCCCTTCGGCTTGTGCAATGCAACGGCCACTTTTCAAAGATGACCAAGAAGTACGGGAATATCGTGATGTGTTACGTGGATGACGTAGTCATAGCGACATTGACCCTGGAAGACCACATTGATAGGCTCGATGAGGTCTTTGGATGCATGAAAAGAGCAGGATTGAAGTGCAAACCATCGAAATGTGAAATTCTTAGGGATTCGATTAAGTACCTGGGAAGAATGGTGGATAGGCATGGTGTGAGGCCGGACCCGGAAGCAGTGGAAGCAGCGTTGACATGGAAAGCTCCCAGAACGGACAAACACCTCCTGAGCTTCCTAGGGTTTGCCAATTACTACCGGGAATTCATAAAAGGATAAGCGGACAAGGTGTATCCGATGCAGAAGCTGATGCGCAACAAGGGGAAAAAGTTCGATTGGAACGATGAGGCACAGGTCGCTTTCGAGAACATAAAGCGGGAACTGTGCGAAGCGCCAGTGCTAGGCATGCCTATAGAAAAGGGCATGTGTGTTCTTGACACAGACGCATCGGTAGTGGCCATCTCAGGAATATTGCATCAAGAGCAAGAATGGAACGGAAGAACAGTTCTCCGTCCCATTGCATACGGCAGCAAGGTCTTGAGTGACACAGAGATGAAATATGGCACACCAAAAGCAGAAATGTTTGCAGTAGTCACCTTCGTGGAAAAGTACCGTGCATACTTGGGGAGCGCTCCCTTCAAGTTACGCGTGGACAACAGAGCGTTATCCTGGTTGAAGACCTACTCGATGGATCAGAGTTATATTGATAGATGGATAGTAAGATTGGATGGCTACCATATGATAATCGAACATAGGATGCGTGATAAACACCAGAATGCTGAGAGCCTCAGCAAGAAAACTGAGTTCTATGAAAGATTGGAGCAGAAGCCGGCCAATCAGGCGGAAATAAAGGAGGGATTCTCGTTTCTGGACAAAGAAACTTATGATGCGCTTCCCTTAACGAGATGGTTGGATAAGTCTGGACATCCAATTCCAGGGCATCCTGAGTTACCTGTAGAGAAAGCAGCCGAGATAAAGATCCTATCCAGGGAGGACCCGGTCCCCTTGGATCTGTTGCTGCGCTCGAATTTGGTCCAGCAAGAACTCTCTCGCATGAACATAAACAGCCTCTCATTATTGGATAGAACGGTGCAAGTCACACCGCAAGTGATGCGGATGCTGGGTGGATTGTTAGAAAGAGAAGTGACCAGAGATGACCACGAGTGGACAGCAGCAGTGGCATCGCTAACAGTCAGTGAAAAGGTGAAGATCATGCCGTCCAGACGACAGCACGAAGAGAACGAGAGGGATTGTAGGACAATAGTTCAGCATTTAGTATCCTCAATACCCCACGAGATTTTAACCAGAACTTCTTACGGACAGAAAGAACAGGGGAGCAGCAAGCGAAAGAAAACCGTCACATTTGTGGACCAGGATAAGGAAGGTGAAAAGGTAGAACAAAATCTGCTGCAAGACTATTTGTCCGGGGAGACGAATGATGAGAAGAACCAGCGATCACAAGATCAACACCCGGGACAAGAAAATTTGTCCGGGGAGTCTGAGATAGACGAGAAAATTCCTGATGAGAAACAGGACCTAGAGGACAAGATTTTGTCTGGGGAGTTCAGATGGATGCGAAGAAGGCACAGACATGATCCGGAGGAGCGTGCAGTCTCCAGCACAACCTCTTCGACGGATGACAATTCCCGAAACTCAGGAATGGACACCTATTCAGACAGGAACTCGAGCTCGAGATCAGAACTGTCAGAACTAGCGATACACACACTACTAGTGGAAACTCGGGCAAGGGACCTGGACATAGAGGTGTACCAGGATCCTGACAGCGATCGCTACCTTATACCAAGCGAAAGAGTCTTTGACAACGCAGCGGATGACTTGGAGACAATAGCGGTATCGAAACGTTCGATAAGCCCGTTGCCGCAGAAAGAGGTAGTCAGGACTGATCTTCAGCCGTTTAAACAAGAAACACAGCCGTTGGCGAAGATTTGGTGCGTTAAGATGGAAGAAGACACACACCAGCCCAACGAGCTGAATAGTCAGATGAGGGTCATGAAGACGTACTTAAAGGCGAGATACAGACTCTCGGATCTTCTTAGGGCGCAAAGAAAGGATCGCATGACAAGCAACCTGTGTGCCGCACTCTCGTGTCCTGTAAGATCTACAAAAACCTGCTTCAAAATCTGTAAGTTATCGGCAACTTAACAGATAATATGAAGAGTAAGTAATATATGACAACAATCAGTTTAACATTTTCGGTTAGCATTTTAGCAATACGGTTTTCAACAATCTGAAAAATCTATAAACATTTTTGATGGCAAACTGACCTTAATCGGACAAACCAGTAGTTTTCAAAGCCTTTTGTCTAAGCAAATCTAATTTTAGTTTTTTCACTTTCGCGCTATAATGACGTCATTAATTTAAGCGCGAACATCTTCCGCGCCCAAAGGAGCAAAAACGGGTGCGAGTTTTACGGCCGGTCGAGTTAGCTCCCCGGAGCGGGTGGTAACTACGGCGGATCGGTCTATGTTGTCTTTTCCATAATTAAGGGTTTTTATACGAGCCAGAGGGTAGTGTCCCCTTGGGCTGCGTTCGTCAACAATCCACACTAAGTCCCCTGTTTTTAAAATAACGTCACTATCGGAGTGCCACTTACTGCGTTTATTCAGCGCTGGCACATAATCTCGCAGCCAACAACTCCAAATTGCAATGGCGTAGCTTTGCGCTCGGATATATTGCTTTCGATGGTCGAAGTGCTCCTGGAAAGAGAGAGAAGGAAGGCTAGTACCATTTCGGCCTAACAAAAAATGATTAGCAATTAACACCTCGAAACCATCCGGACTTGCACTTACTGATGTTATAGGTCGAGCGTTCAGTGATTGTTCTACAAGACAGAAAGTTGTTTCAAGGACTTCGGGAGTGAGCTTTCTACTTCCTATTATTGCGTAGAATATCCTTTTACAACACCGAACGAGACGTTCCCAAGAACCACCGTGATGCGGGGCTGCCGGGGGGTTAAATTTCCACTTAATACCCTTTTTGCCAGCTCTGGGGGTGCTTGATCGTTCCACGACTGAATACAATTTAAGAGTTCTTTCTGGGCTCCCACAAAATTGGTGCCGTTATCAGACCAAATGACTGATGGAGTGCCGCGACGGGCAATGATTCTTTATATTCCCATTACACACGAACTCGTGTCCATGGATGAGACAATCTCAATATGTACAGCTCTGGTGGTCATACATGTAAAAAGGAAGCACCATCGTTTTTCAGAACTCCTCCTGATTGAGACGTAAAAAGGTCCAAAGTAATCAACACCACAGTTTGTGAAGGGAGGCTGGCGGTAACCAAGCCTTTCAACTGGAAGTTCTGTCATCATAGGTGTGACAGTTTTGGCTTTGCGCTTCCTACATATAAGGCAGTGGACTTCAATGGACTTCAATAAAGAGCGAAGGTTCAAGATTGCGAACTCTAAGTGAATTACAGCTCGCAGGTAGTCTAAGAACTGGTGCTGATAGCGATAATGAATATCACTTACGAACAATTTCACCAAAGAATGCCTTCCATCAAGGATTATGGGGTGTTTTGTGTCATATTCAGTTGAACGAATGAGGATTGCAGGACCCATAAACGGTGCATACTGTGCAATATGACTAGACTTTTTGACAGTTTTGTTGCAGGACAGGAGTAAATATTCCGCTTCAAAAGATTCCTTTTGGGAAATCAACAAAAGTCGTTGTTTGGCGGTTTCTAATTCAACCGGATCGGTTATTTCCTTGACTTTAGTGCGGTAGTGCCGGTGTTTCGGACTAAGTCTGAGCATGAAGGCAACCACTCGCTGGAGTTTACGAAACGAGCTCAATTTTTCCCAATCAAATAAAATGGGTTGTTTTTGTTTCAGTGCAACGTTTGAAAAATTAGAGGCCTGCTGTAAACCTTCATTAAGGTCACAAGCGGGAGCAGCCAGGCGGATTTTTGTAAGTATTTCTATGCTCGGCTTGAAAAGCCACTCGCCACTTTTCAGCAGACTTGGCCCGTTCACCCAGCTGCTTGTTTTTAAGGACTCCGCTGAGATTCCTCTGGTTCCCGTATCAGCAGGGTTGTCTCCACTTAAGACATGAAACCAATGGTCTACGGTCGTACTTTCTAGAATCTCTCCAATCCGGTTTGCCACGAACGTGGGTTGCTTACTACCTGAGTTTAACCACTGGAGCACAGTGATGCTGTCAGTCCACATGAACGTGTTTGACACAGGAATGGTTAGAGCTTTGAGGACATCTTCCTTCAAGCGGGTAGCGAGTAACGCGGCCTGCAGTTCAAGCTTCGGGATGGAAAGCGCTTTCATGGGCGCGACTCTTGCTTTTCCAAAGACGAAGGCAACTTGTGTTTCGAGTGAAGTTTTCACACGGGCGCGAAGAAAAGCTACAGCACAAAAAACTTCTTCTGAGCTGTCACCGAACATGTGTAACTCAACCCAATCGACTGGTGCGGAGAAGTAGCTGCGCTTTATACTCATTTTCCCTAGAGATGGCAAACCAGAGTGCCAGGCAAGAAATTTTGTCTTGATGTCAACGGGTAGCTGATCATCCCATTGTTGACCATGAATGCGCCAGATTTCTTTCAACAATAATCGCGCTCTTACGGTATAGCGCGCTACGAGACCTATGGGGTCGAAAACGGAAGAAACAAAACTTAACACTGTTCGCTGTGTTATCGAAATTTTAAGTTCACGGTTGACACCACGGCTTACGACCAAAGTGTCGTCAATATGGTCCCACTTCAGACCAAGAACATGAGAAGAATTATCCCCACAAGTTACAATATTTTTACTTTCCTGTTGCGGCGCGCTTTGGGGCGGGTTTAAATCTTTATTATATTTAGTTATGTTACTTATGAACTTGGTTAATTTAAAACCACCTAGAGCTAACAGAGTAATCAACTCTTGACTCATTTTAAATGCAACATCAGGGTCCTCAAAGGAGTCAAGGTAGTCGTCCATATAAAATTTCTCTAGAACTGCGGACGCTGCGTCAGGGAACATCGCCTGATTATCCATTGCAGTCCGTTGCAATGCATAATTTGCACACATTGGCGAATCTCTCGCTCCAAAGATAAATCTGGTGTACTGGTGTACAACCACATCGGCTGTGGGGTCCTCCCGCCACAGAAAACGAAGAGATGGTTGGTCCTCTGGAAGGACGCCAACTTGTAGGAACATCCCTTCAATGTCAGCCGATACGGCAAAATGATGTTGACGAAAACGGAGGAGAACGAACACAAGATTCTGCAGTAGGTCGGGTCCTACTAGCAACGATTTGTTCAATGACGTACCATGGAATTTAGACGCTCCGTTAAGGACACGCCTCACTTTACCAGGTTTGTTTGGGTTCACCACGGGATGGTGAGGAAGATACCACTCGCGTATGCTGCGGTTCGAAAAATTATGGGGAGGAACTTGAATCACGTATCCTTTACTCAAATCATCTTCGATAGTTTTTGAGTATTGATCCCTTAAGTGAGGATCTTTCGCTAAACGTTTTTCCAACGATTTTAACTGAACCAAAGAGGAATAGTAATTATCTGGTAACATGATAGATTCTTCTGCCCAAAGCATACCTACAGCATTTCTTGATCCATCGTGGACGGTGGAGGTATCAAGTATTTTAGCCGCCCTTTTGTCTTCGGTTGAAGGGGAATCGACCTGTTTGTAGGCTCCGTATGACTCTATTTCATACCAGCGTTTGATTTGACAAGCTAGTTCGGTATCATCCGTATTGCACTTGAAACAAGTAGAAAGGAAACCAGTAGATGTCGGCATTGGGCCGCTCAAGACCCAGCCTATTGGAAGGCGAACCGCGACGGGCGATGTGTTTGGATCGGCCTCACTCTTGAAATACTCCTCAGGCCGAATAGCATGGAAGGAGTCTTGACCAATTATTAAGTCTACATCGGCGTAGCTATACACAATTGGTTTGATGGGAGCAAGGTACGGATACTTGCTCTGTAATGCAGGGATGTTGACGGTATCGGTACCGACTTTAAGTTCATCCTTGACCAATGCGGTTAATTCGAATATGTATTCGAATCCATCGAAGTTAGAAGATACCTTCGTCTGAACTTGTTTCGTTTTAACAACAGTCGTTGTGTTAATACCATTTACTGTGAGATCCAAATCTCTTCTTGAGAGATTCAGACATTTGACTAATTTAGCCGATATCCAGGAATGACTAGATGCTGAGTCACACAATGTTAAACAATCAGCACTCTGGAAATCGGTGGAAACTTGGAGCTTGATTATGGGCAGTAACCCTTTCGATGTTATGATTGATGATTGGTCGTTCGAGATTGCGCAACTTACATCTAACGGAACGGGATTAATGTCTGCATGATTCGAACTTGCGTTTGGTATTTTCTTGCTGAATGATTTTCGATCAGCGTTTGTGCTCGCTTTATCCGGCTCTGCATTAGATCTTGTTTGACCAGCGTTGGGTCTTGTATGGCTATCATTTTTGTCCGGATTTCGACTAGGAAAAACACGTTCAGCCCCATGGAGAAGTACACTATGGGTGCTAGTGCAACCTGGTTTGGTGCATTTCTTTGCTCTGGGACGTTGCCGGAATGCGTGGTTCCCTTGTAAGCAGGAGAAGCACAATTTGTTTTCCGCAGAGAATTTCGCACGTTGTGTTGGAGTTTTCTCCTTAAACACAGAACACTTCCACAAGGCATGTTTCCCCTTGCAGAGGATACAAGAAGGATATTCAAACTTTTTCTCAACTGTACTTGTCGAGGCAAAAACTCTCGTTACAGCTTTAGTTTTGGATGGCTCTTCGACTTTGGGCTTTCCAGGCATATTTTTCATTTGCTCATGAGCTTCTGCTTTATCTTTTAACCAATTGTTAAAGTCAATTAGGTTGGGGCGTGACCAATTACGTTTCACGACAAAAAGTGACCACGATTCTCTCATGTTTGGTGGAATTTTCGAAAGAGCTTGATTTAACAAAGAGACGCTTTTCAAATCTTCTTCATAATCAAGAGACCTAAAGACAGCCACTAGACTTGAAATGGTCATCGAGAAGCTAATGATGTTCTCAGAGTTGTGCATTCGAAGCTGCGGGAAACTGGACAACTTATCAAGGTGGGCCGTAATTACGTTTTGTGGCTGGCCAAACTTTCTTTCTAGAGTTTTCAGAGCACGATTGAGATACACTAAGCGGGGGAAAGTTTTTTCAAAGCGTGGTGCAGCGAGCTAGCAGCTAGTATGAACATTTAGTGAATTAAATCAACTTTAGAGGAAGGGAATCAAGCAAACCGCGACCTGACCTCCCGCAACACCCTGAGCTAACAAGGTTGTAGCAAAAGGTAAGACGATTTGCTTAATAATACGCTCCGGGTCCCGACTACGGCTACTTTTATCCAAATGAACTAGTTTAGTTAGCTGCACCACGTTTCAAGAATAAACACGGCGTTTTTTCAGAAATTTTTTTTTCGAAAATTTCGGATTTTTTTTTTTCGAAAATTTTCCAAAATTTTTTTCGAAAGTTTTTCAAAAATATTTTTTTTCACGTTTTCAGCCAACGGTTCAAGTTCCAACAGTAACCTGGTGCGCTTGCGAAATTTTGAGTTTTTTTTCCGTTAAAAGTCCGAAATTTGGGCAAAAGACTCGACTCGGTCGTTTAAGTTAATTTCTTATGAAAATTGGCGCTTTGCTGAATAATTTGCAAAACTTTAAAGTTTTTGGAAAAAAAATCAAAAATTTTCATTTTTTTTTTCAAAATTTTCGGCCTTTTTTTCGATACGGTGTTGAGCTTACAAACACGGTGTTAGGATAACGTAATTAAGGTTTATTAGGCCGGTTTTTTTCTAAACCAACAGAAAATTTTCTGATCGGGTTTTGGTATAGAGAAACATTGGGGGTTACGATTTTGCCATCAAAAAACCTCGTATCAGAATTTAAAGCATCAAATCAGCAAGTTAGCACAAATGGATAAAGTTTTGGTTTTTTAGTCTTACAAGTTTTGTAGAGGCGTTCACCGGTAGAATCCAAATTCCACAGAAAACTTCGGGTGTCGAGAAAAAATGGGTGTCCACAATCCACAATCAGGATACCTGAAAAGGCCTCCCCTTCTCCTAACTGGGACGTTTCGGACAATCGGGTTTTTTCGGACAATCGGGTCGTTTCGTCCAAATGGGTCGTATCGGCCAATTGGTCACCTTCTGACAATTTTTGGCTAATTGGACACTTCTGGCCAATTCGGCATCTTCGGGCCACTTTCGGCTATTGCACAATTTCAGCCAATTGGGTCGTGTTTGGACAAATATCGGATAATTGGACACTTTCGGCCAATTGGGATACTTTAGGGCAACTTTCAGCTAATTGCACAATTTCGGCCAATTGCGTCGTGTTTGGACAAATTTCGGCTAATTGCACAATTTCGGCCAATTGGGTCGTGTTTGGACAAATTTCGGCTAATTGCACAATTTCGGCCAATTGGGTCGTGTTTGGACAAACTTCGGCTAATTGCACAATTTCGGCCAATTGGGTCGTGTTTGGACAAATTTCGGCTAATTGCACAATTTCGGCCAATTGGGTCGTGTTTGGACAATTTTCGGCTAATTGCACAATTTCGGCCAATGTGGTCGTGTTTGGACAAATTTCGGCTAATTGCACAATTACGGCCAATTGGGTCGTGTTTGGACAAATTTCGGCGAATTGCACAATTTCGGCCAATTGGGTCGTGTTTGGACAATTTTCGGCTAATTGCACAATTTCGGGCAATTGGGTCGTGTTTCGACAAATATCGGCTAATTGGACACTTTCGGCCAATTGGGTCGTCTCTGGAAAAGTTTCGGCTAATTGGTCGCTTTCGGCCAATTGGGTCGTCTCTGGAAAAATATCGGCTAATTGGTCACTTTCGGCCAATTGGGTTGTGTTTGGGCAAATTCCGGCTAATTGGTCACTTTCGGCCAATTGCGTCGTGTTTGGACAAATTTCGGTTTATTGCACAATTTCGGCCAATTGGGTCGTACTGTCCGGAATATCGTCCTGAAAATCCTCTGGAATATCGTCCGGAATATCGAGTCCGGGTCGGCGGACCAAAATGTGCCGCACTCTCGTATCCTGTAAGATCTACAAAAACCTGCTTCAAAATCTGTAAATTATTGGCAACTTAACAGATAATATGAAGAGTAAGTAATATATGACAACAATCAGTTTAACATTTTCGGTTAGCGTTTTAGCAATACGGTTTTCAACAATCTGAAAAATCTATAAACATTTTTGATGGCAAACTGACTTTAATCGGACAAACCAGTATTTTTCAAGGCCTTTTGTCTAAGCAAATCTAATTTTAGTTTTTTCACTTTCGCACTATAATGACGTCATTAATTTAAGCGCGAACAACCTGAAAAGGTGGATCGAGAATGGTTCTCCGGATAAAGGGCACCTCGAGGAAAATAATTATCGCATCCTGAGACAGTACTTCATGCAGAAGGAAGGGACGTTATATTTGAACAAGGACGGGATTGTGGCTTGCAAAAGAAGAGAGTCCTATACAAGTATAACGCGATAGTGTTACCGCAACTCTATCAGGCAGAACTATTATTCAGGTCACATGATCAGATGGGCCATCAGGGGATCGACAAAGTATATCAGAGGATCCTGAAGCGCTTTGAGTGGCCTGGGATGAAAAAGGCATGCGAGAAGTGGGTAACAGCATGTTTGTCATGCCAACAGTTCAAGGATCCAAGGAAGTTGCGATTTCCTTTACAATCGATCGAGTCGTCTGAATTCAACGAGGTGGTGCAGATAGATCACCAAAAGATATGCATGACAGACAATGGTTATAATCAGGTGCTGGTCATGATAGATCAGTTTACGAAGTATGCAGAGGCCGTGCCCTGCATAACTGCCTCGGCGGAAGAGACATGCGACCACCTGATCAATACGTGGATAGCAAGACATGGTTGTCCGATGACGTTTTAATCGGATAATGGAACAGCTTTTGTAGGAGAGCTTACGAAAGAGCTTATGAGACGCTCACAGGTCGCTCAGGCTCACTCCACGACATACCACCCTCAGACGAACGGCTTAGTGGAAAGACAGAATAGGACGTTAGTGTCGATGCTGAGAGTATATTGTTCCAGGTACATGACCGATTGGGACAGATACCTTCCACAGGTGATGGGAGCATATAACAGCACGCAACATTCCACCACTGGAGTCAGTCCACACATGATGCTAACTGGACGCGAAAAGTCTTTGCCCTTAACCTTCTTCTACCCAGAGTATGAGGGAAAGAAAACGTCCCCACAGGTCTACGTGAGGGATGTGATTAGATGCCAACAGGAGTTGAACGATTTGTGTAGACGAAATACTCAGCAAGCACAGGCAAGGCAGAGGAAAAGATTCGACAAGAAAGCAGCTGGTGCAAAGGCTTACTCGGTGGGAGACTACGTATGGGTATTTCAGAACGTTATACCACCGAAAGGGACGAAAAAGCTCCTCTAAAATGGAGGGACCTTTCATGATTACAGAGGTGCACCAGGAGGGACGCTTTTATAGACTGAGTACTGGCCGAGCCGCCCACTACGAGAACATCAAGCCACACAATCCATCGACAGAAGACTGGTGTATACCTGCAGACATGGAAGAAGGGGATTATCTAATGATGAATCCTGCTTGTGAGGTCAATGAAAAGGGCACCAGGGAGAAGAACGATGGAAACGAAGTCGTAGAGGAAGGTACGGATACACCGCTGGACCTGGATCCAAACGAGGAGATCGAAGCGGACAATGAAACCTTACCCTACGCAGAGGAAGATTGGCAGGATCCCGAACAGATAGAGGTTCCCAAGAACTTGGAACTGGATCTTCCGTTCACGATACAGACTAAGGCCCCGTGATGATCACAAAGATACATGCCTACTTGTTGAAGGAGGTGAACCTGGCGGAAAATGCCGGGGAAAAGACCGCTGAATTTGTGAACAGAATGTGTCAGATTACTCTGGAAACCTTCTGGACCATTGAAGTGAAGGGACAGGGTGGCTTTGAACGGACAGACAGCATGCTAGAAGGGTTGGGAGCCGGATGGACCGCTTCCTTCTTGGCAAAAGTTTACCCGAAAGTCTCGCATTACTTGATAAAAGAATTCCTTCAAGCAGTAGTGGAAGTGTCGATAGTGGAACTAATAGCCGTGTTCGTGACAATTGGAGCAGAGAGTTTCGTGAAAGGACCGGCGATACTGCTCACCGAAGGAATCCAGAACCTGCGGTTAGACGGACTTCTGACATTGATTGCAATTACCCACGGAAACTTGGGAGGACTGATGAAACTGACACGTTCGCCAGAGCAGATGAGAGAGAGAGAGAGAGAGAGAGATAGAGTGAGGAACTTAGATATGAAGACTCGTGGAACAAGATAAGAGACCTGAGACACACTCTTATCCAGTATCTCTTACAACAAAATAGTTTTGGAACGGGAGAAGACGAGACAATTGAAAGAGAGGAAGATGTTAGACGACATGTTGGAGGCATGCCCCTGTTAACTGATCTGAGCTTGGCTATGAGAACCGATCCCTTGGCGCTGATCAGAGGAGTCTCGGAGTTTGTGACGGTGATCTATGGACCAGCAGTCACGTTTGCGTTCCCTGACGTTAAAGTGGAAGCATATAGGAGGTCGGTGCTGCACCTGAACCTCATATCAGCAGTGGACGGTAGTACATTAAACTGGTGTGAGCAGCACACATTGCGGGAGCTCATGAGTGAAGATCTGTTGTTTACGAAATTATCGGAGCCAGAGATGACAGTCATCAATTTTGACGATCACTTCCGTGATCGCATGGGAGAAGTAGAA